GTGTCGTATATACTGGCCTATACATGGTATTATCATCTAATTTCCTGCTTTTTTTGTTCTGAATATAGCAATGGAAGGATCGGACTCACTCAGGTTCCAAGGCCTTACGCAAACACTAGACCTGCACTACCACGGACTTGCAAACAACGTAGCGCAGGACACGGAACAGAGGAGAGCCGAGATTTTAAAGGAGAAACTTGAGAAGTAATCTGCTACAACATTTGACTGCATTTTTTGTATCAGACTTGTTTCCTCGGGAACTAAAGAGGCTTATCGAAGGTGAGTCTGGTCGACTCCCATTAGTCAATCAATCATATCTCAGAGAGACCATTCTCTGCCATCTCCAGTTTTGCATTTCATCATCATCATTTTTTTTTTGGTTTTAATCATCCAAAAGACCAAAACAAAAGACCAAAAAACCCATTTCGGGTTCTTTTTTATATTTCTTTTCAGACAGAACAGAGAACCCTTTGGGAGGGGTTTTATGTTCTCCGATGTAGATCGGAATCATATTTATAAAAAGCACAATAGTTTTTTTAGTGAATTTGGTTAATGACAAGATTTCATATACTTATTAGGAAACCAACAATGAGAATTTTGACATGAGGTAAATAATAAAAGAGTACCGAATAAAATGAATGTGCAATAAATAGTCCACGCGGTTTCTAGCTCCTGCGCGTGGGGAAGCACAAGGTAAAGTGATTAAAAGACGGCGTGACACAAGCATAAAGGCAAGTAGGTGGTTGAGTTAAATGAAGCAAATAAGCATTAAAGATGGAGGGAAAAAGATTTGAGCGAGAGTTTGAGTTTTTTTGCTGATGCCATAATTTTAAGGCCCAATAAATAGGATTGTTGTGTTCCCACGTTGTAGACCGGTACAAGAAATATCAGAGAGAAAACAAAAAGAGTTGGTGTTCATCAGATTTTGTAACAGGTAGAGCTTAAATTTAGATCTACGGCCTCATAGAGCGTGCAATAATATTGTATAGTCGACTAAACGTTTTCATAAATGATTTATTTCAAGTGGAACTGAAATGGTTTACTCTTAGCTATGTACTCAACGATCTCGTCCGTGTAAACAAGGATGGTGGGAAAAAATGGAGATGGAGTGTGGAAATTTGTACGCTTGGAAGAAAGATTGAGCAAAGGAATAAAATTTCGTGAAGGAGAATGAGAAAGAATTTTTAGGAAATCAAGGTGAAACCGATCCCTATTCATATCCACACAGACGACGATATGGATATGTTTTTGGCGATGAGGGTAGATTTGCACGAGCTGAAGTTGTATGTAATCAAATACCTCAGAATTGTGTAAGACTATTTAAATATAAATAGCACGCTTGGTTTTAAATAGCGCGCCCAAGGGGCGCCTAGGCTCAAGGCGCACCTTGAAGAGGCCTATTGCGTCTGGTAAGCTCAAGGCGAGGCACTCTCTGAAAAGCCCACGCCTAGATGCGCCTTGACGAAAGCTCGAGGCGAGCGAAGCAAGCGCCTTATATGTATTAAGGTTAGATTTTGAATTTACATGGTTTTTTGTACTTAGAAATATCTGTCACTTATATTTACAAAAATAAAACGATAATAAAAGGAAAATGAATCGTTTTTGTTGAGATATTCAAGGAACATTAAACTCTGTTACCTTTTATCACGGCTTAGTGATATGTGGAAACCGTAGTCCCTTTAAAAAAACTCTTCTTCACAACATCAGAACCAAAAAAAAAACTCTTCACGCCACATTTTTTTCTTCTTCTCAAACTTCATCACCATGTCAGGGAAGGCTATTGATCCGGGCAGAAAATATGAGATTGTAGATCCAGCAAACGCTAATAATTGGAAGTGTCAATTCTGTATGGAGTGGACTAGAGGAGGAGTTTATCGTCTGAAACAGCATCTCGTTGGTGGTTTTAGGAATACTCTTGAATGCAAGATGTGTCCTGCACATGTAAAGGAAGAAACCAGAAGATTCATGCTTGAAAAAGCAGCAGCAAAAAAAATTACACAGATGATGCCAGAAGTTGACGAGTATGATGTTGAGGAAGAGATTGATTGTGAGGCAAGCGGCTCACGCAACAAAACTGCACTTAAAATGCCGAGACCCAAAGGTCCAATGGACAGGTTTGTGACTACTCCCCCCCCCCTGATATTTTGCTAGGACGAAAGCAACAAAAGGGAATTTTTGGAGCGTGTGACAAGGAAGCGAGGGAAAAAACGGTTAGGGCTATTGCTAGGTGGATCTACGATGCTGGTATTCCTTTTAATAGTGTTAATTATGAGAGTTTCCCTCAAATGCTCAAAGAAATTGCTCAATATGGACCAGGATTAAAGCCGCCAACTATGTATGAGCTACGGGTTCCTCTTCTTAAAAAAGAAGTAGATGATACTCATGCTCAGTTGGTTGAGCATAAAAAAGAATGGGCGTCTAAGGGTTGTTCTATCATGTCAGATGGATGGCGTGATTCCGTGGTGCAAAAGGATATTATCAACCTTCTAGTTAACTCTCCAAAAGGTTCTGTTTTCATAAAATCCAACGATGTTTCCGAAATCGTGAAAAGTTCAACATTGTTGTTTGATATGCTTAGCCGTATGGTTGAAGAAGTTGGAGAGCAATACGTGGTTCAAGTCGTAACTGACAATGCGTCAAACTACGTCAAAGCAGGTAAAAACGTTTTCTGATTTTTTAATTAAACGTTTTCTGTTTTTTTTTATCTTAATAAAATCTTAATTTTTTTATGTTTTGTATTCTTTAATGTACAGGAAAATTACTAATGGCTGAACGGAAGCATCTTTATTGGACTCCATGTGCCGCACATTGCATTGATTTGATGTTGGAAGATATTGGAAAACTTTCAATGGTGAAAGATGCTATAAAGAAGTGCATATACATGAATGGCTACATTTATAGTCACACTTCTCTTGTGAACATGATGAGAAAATTCACCAAGGAAAGAAATTTGCATAGGCCATCTATTACGAGGTTTGCAACATCTTTCATTACCCTTTCTCACTATCATAAGCAAAAGAATAACTTGAGAAAGCTGGTTACTTCCAAAGAATGGAATAATTCAAAATGGCCAAAGGAAGCGGGAGGAAAAAAAGTGAGAACGTATATTTTGCAAGAAAGCTTTTGGAAGCAAGTTCTTTATGCTCTAAAGTTGACTGGCCCTCTTGTTAAGGTACTTAGGATCGTCGATAATGAGAAAAAACCAGCTATGGGGTACATTTATGCAGCCATGGAAAGGGCTAAAGAGACAATTGTGAGGGCTTTCAACGTACGAGAAGAAAACTACAAAACAGCCTTTAAGATCATTGATGAAAGGTGGAGGTGTCAACTTCATCATCCGTTGCACGCGGCTGGTTATTTCCTAAATTCGGTAATCCAATATGATCATCGTGAAGAGGTTGATTGTGAAGTAGTCGAGAACGGTTTGTATGCGTGCATTGAAAGGTTAGTTCCAGATAAAGAAACTCAAGACAAAATTACTATGGAGTTGGAGAAATTTAAAAATGTTGAAGGGCTCTTTGGTTGCAACATGGCAGTTAGGCAAAAAAAGTTAAAATCACCAGGTAACAACTAAATCATTATGTTTTACTTTTGGTCAAATATTGTTATGTTACATGTTATGGTATCTTAGAATACATGAAAATTAACAACACACTTTGTTTAAACAGCGGATTGGTGGTCTTCTTACGGAAATACAGCTCCAAGCTTGAAGAGCTTTGCTATAAAAGTTCTTAGCCTTACTTGTAGTGCTACTGGTTGCGAGAGAAATTGGAGTGTTTTTCAACATGTAAGTAACCTTAAATTCCATTAATTATTTTCCTATTATATTTAAAGATTATTTCAGTAGATTACTTAACTTATAATCTTTGCTTGACAGCTTCATACAAAAAAAGGAACCGATTAGTCCAAAGTCGATTGAATGACATGGTTTTTGTCAAATATAATCGTGCTTTGCAAAGACGGAAAGAGAAAAAAGTAACCGGTGATCCTATTGTTTTGGAAGAGATTGATGATAGCAATGAGTGGCTACTTGGGAAAATGGATGGAACTTCAGATGAAGAAAATGCTGATTTTGTGTTTGAAAATGATGATTTGACATGGAACATGGTTAGTCAAGTTTCGGGAGCTGAGGAGCCTAGTTATCGTACAAGGGCAGCAACAACAAGTGCTAATACGGATAAAGGGAAAGGAAAAGGAATTGAAAGTAGTACCACTCATGGGCAATCTTCTCAATTTATGTCTCTGGT